GTGCTAGAGTAATGGTTCGTGTAGTCATTCAATCCAAAGGCATCCTGAGACCTACCTACTGGCGAGAAAGCTTGAGACTTGTGTTGTGTCTTTATTTCAACTAAACCTTCCCTATACCTCTATAATATACATTAAGTATTCTACTATTATTCCCAAATCCATTCTTTCTGAGTCTTCATTGTAACCCTAGTAGATAATTACAAGGTAATTTGATCCCTTTAAAAGTAAATACTATTGTCACAACTTATCTAAGAGATACCCTAGTGATGGATTCTTCTCCATCTTTCTAGTTGTCCATCTAGGTAAACTCTAGGCAATATAAACTCTAGGTAATATAAGTAAAGCATACATTATTTGTATGTTTGTAAGTATAGTGGCATTAAAAAGCCTTATAGTTACCACTGCCAGGTCAAAGAGCATTTACATTTGTCATTTAACTAATACTGCCGTAAGCTTTAGGAGCAAAAGTGGAGAGTACTTGTTTTCCCACATTTTCAGGAATATGGATGTTTGAATCGTACTTGTTTCCTATTCCCCTAAAGTGTTTTAAAAAATAAAGTTAAAGTGAGTACTTTCGTTTCCATTTCATATAATGAAGGAATTGTCTCAGGCAATGGGGAATTACGCTCTACTCTGTGTACACTGTTGTTTGTTTTATTTTGTGGAGCTGGCAGTCGGACCCAGGAAGAATTGCTCGGCATGCCAGGCCAGCGCTCCACCACCGAGCCACACCCGGGCCTGCACACACTTTATGTGCTTGTACTTCATACTTCGGGTGAAACAAGTTTCCATAATTGGTGGTAAAAATAAGCATGCTAAAGAGAGAGCAGCAGGATGTTAATACATCTCCCATATTTTACCTGGTGAGCCATATCCCGTTAGACACTGGGAAGCTCCCATTTCCCCATTCTCCGTCTCCGGAGTGAACTTCAGGGTAGGTAAGAACTGGGGAAATTGTAGCTCAGTCCTGCATCTCCTTTGGATGCTGATATCGTTTGACCCAGAGCTTTGCTGAATTCTAGAGTCCCAGGCCCTGTGCTGCTCCTGTAATCGTGGGCCTTTGTCTTCTTTAGTCGCTCTGGAATAATTCTGACATATGCAAAAGTTGTCTAGACCATTCCTACTCCCTAGAAATTTCCCTCAAAATCAGGCACACCTGCCTCAGTCGCTTTGAACTTTCTGGTACCTACCCTCCAAGCTGAACTTCGTGTCCATTCCAGAGTCCGCTGTTGGAAACTCCTGGACTTTGGGGGTTCTCTGAGCAGACCAGGTTGCTGTTCAGCTTTCTCTGATCCCCAAATCAGATCTGTTGTCACACATTTGACTGCTTACTGGCTTCCAGAATTTTATTGGTGTTGTCTTCCCATTCTCTTTGTCCTTGTGGGACTCTCTTCCTTCCTTCCTTCCTTCCTTCCTTCCTTCCTTCCTTCCTTCCTTCCTATCTCTTTTTCTTCTTCCCTCTCCTATCTTGCTAGTATGTTTTCAAGAAGGTAATTTGCTGTCATTAATCAGAAAGCTATATAATTTTAATTCTTAAATGCAGACAAGGACATTGAAGCTCAAAGAATTTGACTAATGTGACAAAATTGATAACAATGTGATATAATAAAGATTTGTGCCCAGGCAGCCAGATTCTTAACACCATCTTTCCCATACAAACACAAATGTGACCATCTTTTCTAAAATTATAGAACAAATTAAGTTCATGAATCAAGGTATCACTGTATATATTTGCTGTGATAATGAAATGGAAGAAATACTCCATATTGACTATCCATATCATTCATTTAATTACGAAGCACCTTTGGGTGGGAGGGGTATATTCTAGTAATCCATGAAGCCGGAAGTCAGGATACGCACCACATGGACATGTACCAAGTCAGGATATAGAGGGTCCAGTTGCAGCCTTGTCTGTACTGAGTTGAAATGTCCCAGGCAGGCCACTGTCCTTCTCAGCTACTCCTGTAAACACTTATATCACAGAATTTCTCTGCTTTTGCAAAAATCTGAGACTCTGCCAGGAAAATAGAGGGAAAAGTGAAAGGAAGCTACACCATAAATCTAGAAACAGAGGCTGGGCTGATTTCCCTCCCTTGATAAGAGCATTGCGGACAGGTATAATAAAGCACTATGTCCGGTCCCCAGGTAATAAACCACCACTGGCCACCATGTAACAAACTGCTCACCCATGGGCACCAAAGGAGGGAATGGCTTGCAAGCTGAGGGCTGCCTCTCCCTGAAGGTGCAGAGCGTGGGCCAGGTGGTATAACCAAAGAACATGAGGACTAACTCTGTCTCCAGTGATCGCCGTTTGCAGTCTAGAGACAGGTTCTTTCCGTGAAGGTTTTACCAAGGGTTCTCTGAGGATTACTCCTATTTGTATGTCACCTCATTGCATGTGGCCCAGACCTCTAGCCCATCTCAAAGCTGGCTGTTTTTCACTGTCAGGATTTGGGGTTGGGAAAGACATTTCTCTAGAGAATATCTAAACTAATCCTCAGGATTCTGTTCCTGCTTGTTTTTCATAACTTAAAGCTGGACACCTGCCAGCCCCTGACATTGTAATATGAATACAGCAAACTCACTATCTTTGTTTTCTACATCAGGATTAATTTATTTTCCCTGATTCCTTTTCCTCAACTTTGCCTCTGTCTCCTCAATCTCAGACCTTTTATTCCTCCTCCTTATCTGCAAAGATACTTGAGCTTAAGAAAGGAGACGAAATCTTCCCAACCATATATTATACAAAAAATTTATATATAAGTAATTACCTCAGAAAAGGGAAGTCACATGGGAGATTAATTTCTTACTTTATACATTTTTACACACTGAATTCAATATATAAGTTTATTGTTAAAGTCAGGTGGGATTTTCTACATTATGATTAAATAATTTTTAGATGACTAGTAAGTGTCAAAAATATCTTATATGTCTTTTTTAAAGTTTGTACATGTTCTTCAGCATAAATCTTATTTTGGCTTTTTTCCCTGGTAGTGAGAATTGAACCCAGGGCTTTCACACTGAGCTACATCCCACCCCTTTGTATTTTTTTTCATTTTGAGAAAAGGTCCAGGTTAAGTCATCCAGGCTAGGTTCAAACTTTGAATCCTCCTGCCTCGGTCTCTCAATTGTACCACCACATCTAGGTGAATTTTATGTATTTTAATATGACACTTTTTTTTATTCTCCAGAACTGGAAAGGAAAATAAAATTTCAAATAAAAAATGTATTATTTGATGCATGCAATAAGTTTGATAAATGTAAATTTATCCGCCCACCCCCAAAATTTTTTTGTCTTTTTGAGACAGGGTTTCACTATGCAGTTCAGGCTAGCCTTGAATTCACGCTGTAGACCAGGATATCCTCAAACTCACTGAAATCCTCCTGCCTCAGCCTCTTGAGTGCTGGGATTATAGGCGTGGGCCACCACTGCTCCCCCAAAGAATTTTAATAAACACTCTCACATACACATCTCCTTTTCCAATCTGTACTTGTGGTTTTTTGCATGTTTGACCCTTGTAGGCTGCAGAAGCCAAGGAGCCTTGGGATGAACCACTCCTCCTCACCTCTTGGTTGTAACACAGAAGCTAGGGGGTTATTGATCCTGGGAGGTGTTTAGTCAGTGCTCAGGAGGGTAGCGCATGGAGTGTGAGTCAGACAGACTAAACCATCATGTGACACACAGGGATGTTTTGATCAGTGACAAACTACATGTGTGACAGTGGCCTCATCAGACTATAATACAGCTGAAAACTTCTTGTCACCTAGGGGCACCACAGCGCAATGTGTTTCTCATGGGTGTAGTGACGCTGTGCCATGGGTTGTGTAAAAATATGGCATAGGAGGGTAAAAGGATTGAAAAAGATCAAGATATGTTATATGCATGTACCAGTTCCCTAAAACCAACAGTGCTATTCTGAATTACAAACATGCAGAAATAAAGAAGGCACACATAATGTGTAGTACACTATACCTGACATAAATTGCTGTTTCTGGGTTGGGGATATAGCTCAGTGGCACAAGCCCCCACCTGGCAAGTGCAAGGTCCTGAGTTCAATTCCCAGTAAAAAAATTACTGTTACTGGTTTACATATTTATATTACGCTTTTTGTCATTATTTTAAATTGTACTTCTTATTAAAAATAAATGCTTAATGTTTAAAAAATGTGCCAGGCTATGTCAGCAGCAACCTCCTAGGCTTGTGGTTACCATCTCCTTCTCTCTCTCTCCTCTTTCCCTCTCTCTCTCTCCTCTCTCTCCCACTCCCCTTTTCTGTCTCTTATTTTTTGAGACCAGTTCTCACTATGTAGATCAGGCTGCCCTGGAAATCACTATGTAGCCCAGGCTGGTCTAGAACTCATAGTGATCCTCCTGCCTCAGCCTCCCTAGTGCTATAGGACTATAGGCATGCACCACCATGCCCAGCTACCATATTTCTTAATCATTATCTGGACACCATGCTAAGTGACTGACATATGTCACGCCAGCTAGGTTTGTACACACTGCCATTTGCACAGCATATGACCAAATCCTTTAATACCACTTTTCTCAGAATAGATCCCCATCCTTAAGTAACGCATACCCATAGTTATTTGACTGCCACACAATCAGAGTTTATATTTTAGGAACCTTAAAATTGGGTTTGAATTTCTGACATAATATTGGTGGCAAGTTGGATTTTTGAAAAAGCACTGACCCCCAAGCCCAGTCACCCAGGCTTTGCCACTGACTCCCCTGGGTGACCTTGATTGATGACGAAGTTCCTTTAACGGGGAATGAAAGACGAAACTGCCTCGAGGCCCTTGCTGGCTGGAAACCTCCGGTTCTGTGCCAGGTGGGGAGGTGTGTGCTGAAGGCTGGGCTTTGGTCTGTGAACCTTTCTCTCACGTGACGCGGGAACCGCTGCTCCTTGGGCCTCACTGAGATAACGTCTCGGAGGAGCAGCGTCACTCCCCACAGGACTAGCCGGTCCCATCAGCTCTGTGCTCACTGCCTTGCAGATGCCTGGGACCGAGGAGCCCCAAGATGTGTGCGGCCCTGAGGAACCCAAAGGGAGCCCGCAAAGTCCCAAACAGGCCAGCAGTAAAATGAAGCTCAAGAGTCGTCTTTCGGGTAAGTGGGAGCTCTGCATGCTCAGCACCGCTGGCGGCCGCTGGCGGCCACAGGCTCCCAGCCTCGGGCTGGGAGATGCCGTCTAGCAGGATGAGCCCTTTTTCTCCCCTGAAGCCTCAAAAATGGTTTTCCTTCAAGGATGCCTGCTCCTGGGAGAACAGCTCCGCTTAGCCCAGCTGCCCCTGTGAATGTCTTTATGTGAGTCAGACGTCACCAAGTGAATGTCAGCATCTCGGTGTGTCTGTAGTGCAATGTGAATCCCCCATACGCTTGGTTCATTTGTTTCAGTAGGACATCACGTGACCGTCAGCAAGGGTCATCCCCGATGGCCCATCTCCCAGCTAGCACACTTGCCCCAAGACTGAGCCAGCGGAAGGAGTGGCAAAGGGCCACTCATCTAATGGATTCTGTGTTCTGTATTTCTAGGGCATTTCCCTAGAGCAGAGGTGGTGAACCTGTAGCACACATGCCACAGCTGACTGTTCATTCACTGAAAGCTCCAAAAGGTTCGCCATCACTGAGGACTGCCCCGCCTGTGCCTGAGAGAAACCTGAGGGAAACTCAGGCTCTGTGCAGGAAACGCGCTATGGCTTTCATGAGGCCCAGGCACGCTGCCTTCGTGGTTCCTTTCTTCCATGAAGAATAAAAATTGAATTTTATGTCTGTGTTCATATAACGATACAGGCTGTATTTTTTAATGTATTCATTACTGTTTCTTTTTTTTTTTTTTTTTTTTTTTTTTGAGACAGAGTCTCACTATGCAGGCTGGCCTTGAGCTTACTTTGTAGCACAGGTTGGCCTCAAACTCGCAACGATCCTCCTGCCTCAGCCTCCCGAGTGCTGGGATTACAAGCATGCGCCACCACACCCAGTTTTCATTACTGTTTCATTCAGGGGTTTTCTGCATTAAAAAAATTAACCCCTGGGGGCCAGGAAAGAAAGAAATTTCTGTGGGTCCCCAGAAGTGGCATGGGGTCCCAGCATAGGGAAGAAGTATCTGGGATGGAAGCAAAGGGCTTTGAAACACAGCAGAACCAGGTTGACCCCTCGGCTCTTAAGTTCTGTTCTGCCTTTCGGTTATTTAACCTCCTAAATCTCTGCTTCTTTACCTGAAGAAATGGAAATAATGTCTTAAAGGTTGGGTATATTTTTAATGCCCATAAAGGCATCTAATATAATGCACAGTATGTTAACATCCAAAGAACTCATTTCCCCCTCCACCACCCAAATCAGTGGAGAGGGTAGTAGCTATGCTGCCAGCCAACGTCTCCCTCCCTCACAGCCCCGCCCCCCACTGAGTTTATTCTCAGGTAAGATGGTGGGTACAGGGCCATAAAAGATAACACTTTGTAAACCCAACGAACAGAATGAATTGTTTTTTCAATTGTAACTCAGAACGATGAGGCAGTGAGTGCTACCTGTGGACAGGTATGAAGACAAAGATTTGTGACAGAAAGAAATGGTGACTAGAGGTACATGGAGATGCTGTGAGGACTCACCTGGAGACAGTGACCAGCACCACTTCAGCGCTCAGGAGCTGAGAGGCACACCTGTAGATCCCACGTGGGGGGGGGGGGCGGTCACAAGGGCGCAGAGGAGCCCTGAGGTCAGCTGTCTTTGCAGAGTTTATCAGCGCCTGTAAACCAGTTCTCGGGATTGCTCACAGGGCTCTGAGGAAACACGGGGACCTTTGAAACCAGTGCAGTCACATTCCTCATTTTATGGATGAAATGTGAAAAGTTACGGGGATCCCAAAGGTCTCTGAGTCCAAGCCAGGAGAAGCATCTGCCTCCCAGACAGAGTTCTCCTCCCCATACTTTGGCTTCCTGGGGATCATGAAAAGCATTCTGTTCCCAGTCTTGAGCTTTCTAGATTCAGATTCGGGGTGAGGGTGCAGCTGAGGCACCGTCCACATGTATGATTTTCTAATTTTGTCCACACTCTTAGTTTCAAGCAAGCAGCACGTTACATGAGTTATAAATCCGGGACTGGCCGCAGTTTGCCACAAAGGGATGACACCTTCCCTTCCTGTGTCCTTCCCAGGACATCCAGGGTGACATCCAAGGCTGTGACAAGGAAATGTAGAATAAGGGGTAGCACATGTGGATGGGCTATAGCCGTGCTGGGTTCCTTCCTCCTCCACTTTGGGCGGGGCGGATGCCCTGCGGCAAGTGACTTCTCTGGGCCCCAGCTCCCTCGTGTGTAAAGTGGGATCATAATGTTCACTGGTCCCAGCAAGAGGGCCTTCTAAGTGCCACGCCTCGTTGGAAGAGGGGATGGCGAGAATGTGTGTGGCACCGCCTCTCAGGGGTGTGGGCCACTACTCACCTCGTGGTGGCCGCCACTGTGACTACATTTTTGGCCTAACATGTTCAGCATCATTATTTTCATTTTCATTCTTGCCTCTTTCCCTGAGAGGGGAACACATTTGAATGGGCTCAGGCAGGACGGCCTTCTCAAGAACTTGTCCCAGCGGGAAGCACCAGGTGCCCGGTGTCCGCCACAACGAGCCACACACACGAGGTACAAAGTCTGGAAGTCTCCTGGGTTGTGGTGCTCAAGAGAGACCCTCAGGAGGTGAAGGGGACAGGGACACTGCCAGGATTCAGTGGGATAGAAGAGGGGAGACCAGCGGTCTAGGTGGGGGACAGAATGCATGAGAGATTTTGGGGGCAGCAGGCACCAAAGTGGTTAGAGAAGTTTTTCACAGCTGCTTTTTTTTCTCTCCTCAGCCATTTGAAAGATCCAGCGTAATCTGTCAGCAGTAGTGACTCAATCTGCCAGAGGTTGGCAGAGTTATTAAGGGAAAGGACACAGAATCTTGGGGTGGGAAAAGAAGTTGCAGGCGAAGTTGGGCAAAGCATGATTTTTAAATGCCCCAGTTTTGGAAAGGAGGGAGAGGAGGACAAATCCTTTCCTTTGACAATCATCAGGATATAGCGAATTCATAAACCAGCAGTGGAAGATAAGACCACAAAAATAATCAGGAGGCATATTAAAGAGCTTAAGGAATTGGGCCTTGCTTCAGTGCTGTGAAATATGTTCATTCTAAAGATTCACATGCAGGAGATTTTAATGTGATCAGCTCCTAATTTGTCCTGTAAACATGGGTGTTTATTGAATATTTTCTTTAAATGGGTCATCCTCATGCTCACATATCAGTGTATTATCTGCGGGTGCTTCCGTATGTGGTTTCTTTCTTGTTGATGACAAATCCTTCCCTGTCAGCTCAGAAGGAATTTTCTTCTAATAAATCTTTCTCAGATGAGTAAGCATGCCAAGAGAGATTAATTTGGTCATGAATTATTAAGTCATGAGTTATTAAAGAGTATCTGGAAAGAAGTTCCAGCCATTTCTACTAGGGCTTTGCCCAGTCTGGCTCCCAAGTGACTAAAAAAACATTGTCTGTCATCTTACTGATCATTTTTCTGACATTCTAACCCCAGTTTTCCTTGCTTAGTGTCTCCTTTTTTGCTAGCAGGATTCCCCTTTAACTTTGGTACTTTTGACTTACCTATTTTAATCCCTTAGTTTTGTAATCTTTTTAAATACAAATTTTTCCTGGGTTACAAAGGAATTTCACATTTTGAAAACCTGCTTCACAAAGTTAATACTTATCTTTTGAAAAGCCAAGCCTTTAGTGATAGCCATTGTAACTATATATAGCCCTCTTCTAACTTTTCATTGCTGTGAGAAATCCATCAATATATTCTTTTTAAAAGTACAGAATTATCTTGTTTTATTCCATGAAAAACTTTTAGAGAAATTTTTAAGTAGATTAAAATTTTTGGTCATCAGTGAATTATCAAGGAGAACTTGATATTCCAAAGAATCTGTATTTATATAGAAATTTTCAAGCAAAGGTAGATATTTTCAAGCAAAGGTAGATATTATAGATATTTATAACACATATATAAAATATAGTGTTTAATATAAGCATTATAGTGTGATTATAGCTATATTCACATGTAATTGATCCATGACTTAAGATTAAAGTCCTTTAAATTATTTTCAAATACTATATAATATAAATTAGGTATTGATAAAGGTATCTTTAAAAATTATTACTACCAAGAAAAAACAGGACGCAAAAGTATTCACCATTAAGTTTAAAAAGTGATATTTATTCAGGTACTACATAATGATATTTCAGTCAAAAATAGGCCACATATAAAACTATGATCCCATATAATTTTCACCTAGTGATGTCATGACCAACTTAATCTGTGTGAGTACCCTCTGTGATGCTAACACAACCACGAAATTGCCTAACAACACATTTCTCAAAACATATCCCTGTTGTTAAGCTCTGCATGACTGCATTGTATGATGTTAAATCCATCAAATTTTGTTCATCAAAAACGACCATTAAGAAAGTAAAGTGGTAAGACACAGACAGGGAGAAGGTATTTATAACACTTAGCTCCCACAAAGGATTGGTAATCTAAGATATTACAAATAAATAAAAACTCCTATGATTCATCAAGAAAATGACAACTCTAATAAAAGAATGGGCAAGAGACTTGAACGGACATTTTACAAAAGAAAAACAGCCAATGAATATGTCAAAAGAAATGTCATCAGGGGAAGGCAAGTTAAAAATCATAGTGAGATCCTATCCCATGCTCACCAGGATAGCTAGCATGAAAGACTGGCATTGCTGAGCATGATGAGGATGTGGAGAAGGATGCTGTGGAGACACTGTCAGCAAAGGTAAAAAGATGCCTGTGTGCAGCACCTCCGTGCCTAGGTATTTCCAGCAGAAATGATGTGTGGATAAGAAGATTCAGTAACAGTGCATTCTACAGCCCACAAGCTATATTTGCATGGCCTACAAGCTAGAAATGCTTTCCACAATTTCAGAGGTTATCAAAAGAGGAGGAGGCAAAACACAAAAAAAACCAAAAACAAAAAAACAAGGGGCTGGGGATTTAGCTCAGCAGCACAGCGCCTGCCTGGCAAGTGCAAGGTCATGAGTTTGATTCCCGGTACCGGAAAAAAACCAAAACCAAAAAAAAGAGGAGGAGGAAGAGAAGAAAAAGGAGTAAAAGGGCAGGGAAGAGAAGAAAATAGAAGAGGAGACAAAGACCATTCATGGCCCACAAAGCTGAAAACATGTGAAGAAAGTTTGCAAGGGTGGACAGTCACTCCATGCTACAGCACTTGCTAGCATGTGTGAGACCCGAGGTTTGATCCCCAATACACCACATCTGCTGCCTTCATTCTAGATCTAATGCTGGAAATAAATCAAATGTCCATCACCAATAGACTGGGTCAATAGCAGTTCCATTATACAAGGAAGTATTACACAGAATGAAAGTGAGCAGGCTGGTGGCATATAAGCAACACAGTTGAATTTCACAAATAAATGTTAGAACAAGGAGCGAGGACTGGGGATATAGCACAGCAGCACAGCACCTACCTAGCAAGCACAAGGTCATGAGTTCAATTTCCAGTACCAAAAAAAAAAAAAGAATAAGGAGTCAGATGTAAAAAAGTACATATTCTATGCATTCATCCATGTAAAGTTCAAAAATGAACAAAAACAATGTATGATGCTTAACAGTCAGGATCCTGGGCGCCCCTGGGTGAGAGGGGGTCAGTGGCACAGAGGGAACTCCGGGGGTTCTGCTTCATGTTCTGTTTCTTGAGCTGGATAGTGGTTAGTGGCACCTTCATTTTGTGGATTTTCAGTGAATTGTATACTTCGCATGTATGCACATTTCTGTAATTTTTATATTTCATTTGAAAGTTTTTTCTCTCCCTGCGCTGTGTTAAACATTTTTAATTAGTGCACGTTTGCAGCACACGCTGTTCAGATTCCTTATGTGGAGCTGGTCTGTGTAATAACATCTTAATTCCTTTTTTCATCCCCTGCCCCTCCCCTTCCTCCATTTCTTGATCCCCTTCCTCTTTGAAACAGATCTATCTCCCTGCTTGCTATTATCTTTCTTTTATTTTGCTCTATATTTATATTTTGAGCTCTCATATAACAAGCATGTGATATTTAAGTATCTGTGTCTGATTTATTCACCTAACATTATAGTCTCCAGGTGCATCCATTTTCCTACATATGACTCATTTTTCTTTCTTTATGGCAAAGCAACTCTCCATTTTGTGTAAATAACGTATTTTCTTTACCATTCATCATTACTGTACATTGGAAGTAAGGCATCTGCCCAATGATGGAATTGCACCAATGAGAGTGCTGCTCCTCCCTCGCTGCTGATGGCCCTCCCACTGTTGTTGATAGCTCACTATCATTTATTTCACTCCCCCCACTTCATCTGACTTGGATCAAACATATTTGTTGCCCCTCAGCCAATTGGTCGCTTCAAAAAATGGCAATTTCTTCATCACCAAGCATTAAGGGCCTGAACACCCAATGGGCTTGTGCAGAGCTTGGTGGGAGGACCCTGGGAGCTGTGTGCTTTAGGTGTCTTGGCCGCCAGGTCTTCTGAAACCATGGCTATGTGTGTAAATGCAGCCAGTCCATGCCTGTGGATGCTCTTAGGAGTCTTCTCATCCCATAGCAATGCACATTCTTCCTGCCTCTTTTCAAGGGGGTGTCCACCGCCTGGAGTCTGTTGAAGAATATAACGAGCTGATGGTGCGCAATGGGGACCCTCGAGTCAGGATGCTGGAGGTCTCCCGAGATGGCAGGAAACACTCCCTTCCTCAACTTCTGGACTCCTCTGGGACAGGACAGGTCAGTCCTGGGCTGTGGTGCCTCTTGCTGGCTTCCAGGCACAGTTGCTTGGATATAGACTGAAGAAAATGCTTCCATCCCCTGGGTCTCCAGGCTTTTCTCCCCACCCACCACTGCCTCCAATACCAGCAAGGGCTTACGTGTTACGAACGTCCATCCAAGTGGACCACAGTAGTTAGATCTGGAGAAATGGTAGAGAGAGTGATTTCTACCCAGACAGACTAGACAAGGAATAAGCCTACTAGTTGAAAAAAGTAAGGGAAAACAAATCTGTTGGATCTCAACATCTTGATCCTCTTCCTACTGTGCGTTTTGGAACTGAGAGTTGCTTTCAACTGCCAGGAAACAATGGCGTCTCACAGTCTGTGGTGAACCACCGTCACTTATTTAATGGGAGCATCATGTGTCAGCATCACAACTGTGTGGTGGGCATGCGCAGCTATGCCTGTGCCGTGCCTGGGTCCTACCTGCTACACGGTGACGGCTCAGTGCTTTAGTGTCCCAGAGCCTGTTCCTCTCAGAGCACTGGCTCCTCCTCAATCATAGGGTCCCCAAGCCCCTAGAAACCTCAACCACGTTGAGGTAGGCTCAGTTTCTAGGGAACTTATAGGGTTCCTTGAGTCCTGGCACCATCAGCCAGAAGGCTGAGAGGAAACCATTCACATTTCTCCCCAGTCCTACAGTGAAACAGGGCTGGAGGAGAAAGGTGGGTGATTGGTAATATCTATCAGTGCTTGGAGACTCATAGATGGTAGAGTTCTGATGGTCTTGTGTCAGGTTGTCTGGGTTGGGCCCTTAACTTGGCATGTTATAATGATTTTGCAGATGAAACAAGTGAATCTTAAAGAAATTAAACATTTTGCTCAAGGTGATATACCAGAAAAGTGCATGAACATGGTCGATTTTGCATCAGGATCAAATATGTGTCTTGCTTCTGTTGCTCTTTACCTGACCAGGAAAAAAAAAAGTGCCTGTGTTTCAGAAGCAATTGCTGATCAAACAGAGTTGGGTGTTGAACTCACCCAAAGATAGCTTGAGGAGGATGAGGCACCAAAGAAAAGCAGAGAGAAAGAATTGCCTGAGATCTGTTAAAAGTCACCCAGACCCATGGCTAGAGACAGACACATCTGCGGCTGGCTCGTAATCATCCAGTTGGACACACAGAGACAGGGGAAGACCAGAAAGTGGTGGGAGAGCCACGTTGTCAGGCTGTTTTAGTGAGTGTGAAAGATGAGAGAGGTTTACTGCCATCATGCTAAAGATCTAGTGTTGACGTGATGATTTTTCAACTGACCCGCAGAGGAAACCTGACCATATTTATAGCCCAGAAACATCTGTTCCTAATGAGGCTTCCAGGAATCAGGAAGCTCATGCTAGTATAGGGTGTTTTAGAGAGGAATTTTTCCCTCTTCAAACTGCCCTGTTTCTATCTGCTTATTTCCTTGCCTTTTCTTTTTCTAGGATTCACCTTTTTTTCCCGTTCTCTTTCCCTCCACTAAAAACCACTGCTTAGAATAAAGTAGCCAGTAGAAGTTTTTCTGCACAGATGGAAGAGTTTTGCACCAAGTAGCTGTGTGTGTACTGAGCACTTTGGAAGTGGCCAGTGAGACTGAGGAGTGCAGTTTGAAGTGTAATCGTCTCAGTTTATTTTTTATTTTTTTTTTTTTTTGGTTTTTCTCCGGTACCAGGAACCGAACTCACGACCTTGCGCTTGCCAGGCAGGCGCTTTGCCGCTGAGCTAAATCCCCAGCCCCTCTCAGTTTAAACATAGAAGCCATTGGTGGCCAATGGCTACCATACTGGACAGCGTAAGTCTGAAAATCAGTGGGTCCCCTGAAACTCAGACCTGTGAAGCACACAGGCCTTTGGTGCCCAGTGGTTCCTAAAAGGGAGACTGAGTAAGATAGTGATGAAGATTACTGACCAGAAAAAGAATTCCCTGATGAGGTCACATGCGAACCTCTGCATTTGAAAGTTGGAAACCATGGGTTGGGTCTGACATCTCTACAGTGGTTTCGGTAAGAGGGTAATAACCATGCCAAGTGTGCATCATTTATTTAATGAGACCAAGTCTTGGAGGCCCACATAACTGGCAGAAGTACTGTAAAACTGCACAGTCTAATTGTTCTAAGCTGCCAGGGATACAAAAATGTCACTGGGGGACAACACCTCATCTCTGCATTTGAATGTCACAGACATGAGTTAAAGGTAAAAGCCACTTTGTCATGTGTCTTTTCTCACATTAAACACAGAAAAAATTTTGGCTTGTGCTAGAATATCTGCATCATTTAAGATATTATTCTAAGAAGAATGGCAAGGAGCTAGATCATAAGAGTGTATTAGCAATAGCCACTTAATCTCTTGTTTATGTTATAACTACTGCACCCTGTGAGCACACAGGAATATTTTGCATGAGGGAAATGAAAAAGGAATGGAGATTTGTACTGCTCTGTGCCAGATAGAGAAAGTGTGGCTTATGGGAAAATATTTTATTTTCCAAATGTGAGGGATTAGAGCTAAAGTGGCTGTCGTCTCTCAGTGGGATGTTTTATGTGGAATAATAGTTTTCTGGGTTTGTGGTTTGCATTTTATAAGAAACAAGGGTGTGCTGAGTTTTTGAATAAATAAAATGAAGCTTTAAATGTTGAGATACTTTGTGACTATGATTGTGAACTTTGGATGGGGGCAGGGATTGGGCATAATTTCGAAAGAGAGCTCAGCCACAGAGTGGTCATCCCCTATCTCTGAGGTCTCTTGGTTTCTGGTTCCTGACTTCATTCCAGCAGCAGGGTCTACAGAATGTGGTCAAGGAAAGAGCAACAAAGTGCGCTTGGTGTCCAAACAGTTCTTTGTGGAGGAAGCGTGGCAGTGTATTGCAGTAGGGACTCTTGCTCCAGTAATATTGGTAGTAAACTTTCAAGCCACTAGACCAGAGATGGGTCAAAGAGAAATCACTGTTTAACACAAAAGACAACTGAGATTTCCGAGGTCAGATCATATCTGTATGCCAGAGCCCACAACAAGATAAATGAGAGTATCTCTAACCTCACCGTGTGCTGGTGTTCAGGAATACCACATCGTGAAGAAGTCCACCCGCTCCCTCAGCACGACTCATGTGGAATCTCCTTGGAGACTCATTCGGCCTTCTGTTATCTCCATCATTGGGCTGTACAAAGAAAAAGGCAAGGTAAGCTCTTTTCTGCAGACTCTTTTCTTAATGATTAATATTTTGCCAGATTTTTTTTTTTGATACCAGGAATTGAACTCAGGATCTTGCGCTTGCCAGGCAGGCGCTTGTGCCGCTGAGCTATATCCCCAGTCCTCCAGTTTTTATTTTTCGTAGTACATGTTTCTGATACATATTGATTACATTTTATGGGGAGTTGATACATGCACATGAAACATCTTAGTTATTTTTCATCCCTTCCCTTCCCCTTCCCCCTCGCTTTATCTGTTAATCACCTTCCCATATGAGAGACATCTATCTCCCTACTTATTATCTGTCCTTTATTTTGTTCTTTTTAAATGGTTAATTTTTTAAAATTTATTTTCACTATTTGCTTTTTCCATAAAATAGAAAGTAACAGATATAAAGAGGGATAGATTAAGTGATCGTGTTGATTTCCTGTGGCCTCGGAGTGTGGGACAGTCATACTCTTCTTGCCCTTAAGATGTAAGCCGTCACCAACACCTGGCTGCTAGGCTGCTGGAATTAAGAGTTCAAGGGCAGAATGAATAACCCCTAACCTTTTTTTTTTGGTAGGGGGTGTTCTGGGAATTGAACCCATGACCTCCAACTTTTACCTCCACTGAAAGAAACTCAGAACCTGTAGCTTCAGGGAATGCTCCCAGTTATTCTTTTGAGTGAATTTCACAGCAATGCCATTATTATAAGAGAAATGACAGGAATAACTCGATACACAAATATCAAAATGTACGCATTGATAGTATACAAAATGGGAAGACAAAAATTTAAAAAAGAAAAGAAATATGGTGCCTGCATAGTGTAAAATGACTCTCAAGAGTTATTTAGTTGACCCACATGAAGTTGCCATTCTTAGAGAACAAAGGTTGTCAAATATTAATGCAACACACAGCTAATGTAATGCAAATAGGTCTAAGGAGGGAGTTGGGGAAGTGAATACAAACTTGAATTTGTAGCTCTACTTTAAGACTGATTAAAAATGACACTGAAGTTAAATGCTGTAGTGGTGAGGATGCCGCCACTGAAATATTGCAAATCCCAATTTTACTGCCGTCTACCTTGAATGCAGGGCCTCGGCTTTAGCATTGCTGGAGGTCGAGACTGCATTCGAGGCCAGATGGGGATTTTCGTGAAGACCATCTTCCCAAACGGGTCAGCCGCAGAGGACGGAAGACTTAAGGAAGGTAGGAGACACCTCTTGGTGGTGCTGCACGACGCTGAGCTTTGAGTCTATGAGATTCTGTCCCTTACACGATGGGAAGCAAGCGGCATGGCAAGGGCCGTGGGCCTGAGGGTCCTCTAGACCAGGACTGCCTCCTTCACTTCCTCATCCTGGTCTTGGAGAGCTGATGCAACCTAGGCTTCTCTGTCCTTGGTTGTAAACTTGGGATATTAATGCCTACCTTGAAGAGGTGTTGTGAGGATTAAATGAGATAATCTGTGCGAAGTGGCTTTATATTCCCATGGAGGACGTAAATATTTATCTTATCTGCTTGCTTAGTCCTTTATCATGTTCCTTACCTTGAAATTTCCTGAGAGTTTTGCATTCTATTCTCACCTCAAGGCTGGTGTGGAAGTAAAGTACCTGACCATGATATTTAATTATCAACCTCGACATATTTTAATTCCTAAATGAACATCTTTTTCATTCTCCGTATCACCTACATTTTGCCACGAGTACATATCTACACAATTCCTTATGAATGTGAATAAAGGAGACACTGAGATGCCAAGTTATAAACATGCTTAAATGTTTAAATACACCTTATATTTTATAGTGCTCTAATATTTACAAAGCGTTTTCATATGTTTACATTACTAACTACATTACAGACCTGTTGAGTAGGGATTTGGAGTGATCATTTCACAAATATGGAAACACACTCAGAAGGGCTTGGTGGCTAGAAATTCATCCCACTCTTCATAAGCAGCAGCAGTGAAATTCAAACCCCAGGGAAGTTCTGATCTCGTGGTCAGTTCCTCTCCCCACCTTACTGCTGCTGCCTCAGTTAAGCACAGAGGCCCAGAGACTCAAAAGTCATTCTTCCTTCTTTAATGTGTCATGATGCTGGAGAAAATAAAATTTACATAAGCCAGAGCTTCCTTCATGTACAGACACAACAGCTGCTTTTAACAGAGAATCTCCTTATGTGTACATTGACATATCTATATTCTTGTTAGCAAGTATTTATTTAGATTATGGCTATATGCTTATATAAAGCAAAATGATGAAAAAGTCCTGACTATATTTTAAATGTCATTCACCAAAGCATAAATCCTGATTTTTCCACTCCCTATTCAAACACCCTTTTTGTTAGTGATTAAGTCAAAATCCAGTGTTTCTGGCCACCTTGGAAAGTGCTATGACTGTCCCATTCACTTGATGCAAGCTATAGGGGCTGTTGAGTTACACTGGTTAACTTTTTTGTAAACTGACCGAGAGTAAATTGGAGTCCCATTTTTTTAGGCAGAACAACTACAGAAGCCTGTGTGCTAGCGATATGACATAGGCTTCATGCTCCAGGGCAGAATATTTCTTTCTCTGTCTTACAGGAAGAGTTAACCCCAGGTGGTATTTGTGTCCAGTTTCAGAGCAATGTAAAATTCTAGCAGAGCATTTTTATAATGGATGTGCCATGTGTTCAGTTGATTGAAATTCATCCTGTAAGGATGGTAAAATGGAGCAAAACAGAGAGAAGAAAAAAGTAGTTAGGAAAGGGAATAGCGCTTGATTCTCCTAAATACTGTTTCTTCATATGTATTCATTTGTGAGAAATGTAAGTCATTAAAATGGATTTTCAACTGTTGAGTGATATACCTTTAAAAAGCCTTGCATCAAATTTAAGAGCATACCCAAGCATGTTGATGTTTCTATCCTTTTCCCATGTGAACACAAACCTAAAACATAATTGAGTAACTGTTTATGCCAGCTGATTTTCAAGCAGAGATTATTCCCCTTATTTTACAACTTTGGTGGTTGCACTAAAAGAAGGCACCTGATGAACATAAGGGGCACCCCTGCCTTTTGGTAACTGCTCTGCAGGATCCCTCTCATCAAATGCACTCTGTGCTCCTGGGATTAGCTGCCTGCGAGAGGTGAAAATGTATGTTCGTACGCCGCTTTGCACTTTGTGAGGGTAGGATGTCTCTTTCCCTAACCACACCATTGTGCGAAGCTCCTCTGTTCCTCTCTCTGGGGTATCTTGATAGTATTTGTGATGAACTGTTGTTCCAAAAAGCAGCCTGTATCACAAGAGTGCAAAACAGAAACGGGTTTCTTACAAGTCACCAGAATGTTGTGTTCCTTTACTTTCCCACTGACACTATCAACAGCTTGAGAAGTGAGCTGACTGTATCCTGTCAGGGCTGAGGATGATAGGCTAGTTGAGGTGGGGAAGAGATAAACCAGTATGTGCGTGCGCATGCCTCACGGTTTGACGTCATCCTGAAGTGCTTGACATTACGTGACAGTAATCTCTGCGACACAAGCACCCTGGCTAACAATGGGCACCCCGGCCCCACATCAAGAAGACCAGACCTCTAGACTATTTCAGAGATGGGGCTTAATAATTTCCCAGCAAGTTTTTTTCTTGTCATTGAAACTATTTTCTACACTCTATGATGATTTTCTGGGAATCTGGTCTTTCTACAAATATAGCAGTGGCTTCTCGGATGTTTTATGAGTTCGTGCTTCATTGCCAGTGGTTTTAAATTTTTAAACAATGACTGTGAGAAAAGACTTGGAACGCGGTGCTTGCAGTTCAGTCTCTAAACACAGGATATCTACTGTTGCACTTGTCAATGGTTAAAGAATAAGATCTTAATGCTTCCCCTAGTTGCTTTAATTGATTAAAATCTAGAGTTATTGCAAAATAACACGCATTTGAATTAATTGTCCCATTTTTGTGACATTGCTGGGAGCGAGGCTTATGAAAGTGAATTGGAACAATAAAAGTCACTTTATGGCGTAGTAAATCAGAGACCATATGGTATCTTATTCTAATAGTAACCAAGCAGTTGGCTTCCAGTAAATTAAGGCTTAACGTTAATGTAATTCTCACGTTTGGTCACCAGGGGATGAAATCCTAGATGTAAATGGAATACCAATAAAAGGCTTGACGTTTCAAGAAGCCATTCATACCTTCAAGGTAACAGCATTCTTACTGATCTCCCCTACCGTCTTCGTTTCTTCTTCCTTTATTTCCTTCCGGGGTGGGTGTGGTGAGATCTTTTTCCCACTTTGTAAGGACACCTAACCCACTTCTCCTTTTTGTTTCCACAGCAAATCCGGAGTGGGCTGTTTGTGTTAACAGTTCGCACCAAGTTACTGAGCCCCAGCCTCACACCCTGCTCGACCCCCACACACATGAGCAGATCGAGCTCTCCGAACTTCAACACCAGTGGGGGGACTTCAAGCGAGGAAGGCAGCTCCTCCGTGGGACGGAAGGCCCCGGGACCCAAGGACAGAATTGTCATGGAAGTCACACTCAACAAAGGTGATCCGAGCTCCTCCTCGCTTCTTCTTTGCATTCTTTTGAATAACAGTTTGGAATCTGCCCTTGGGTTAATTTTTGCTCAACTTTTCTAAGAACTGTTCCTTTGGAACCATCTGCTGTCAACAACAGATGGTGTACTGTACATGGACAGTGGGATCAAAAGTACAGGTTTTAGTCATTTTCCAAAAGTGAGGGGAAGTTACTGGCAGCACAAGGGTCTTCAGGCTCTCCCTGTCTGAGTCATTGTGAAAGTCTGAGTCACTGTGGAGCAGTAAATCAGAGACCATATGGTTTCTTATTCTAGTACTAACCAAGCAGTGGCATAGACCCATGTTTTTAAAAAAAAAAAAAATCACTGAGTGGTTTAATTGTAGGACTCCTACAAAAGTGTAAAGAATACAGGTAAGAATATAGTTAATACCGGTAACTAGAAGTCATGGGTGGTCATCTTTGTTTTTCATCCCCACCCACTGGGAAAATATGATTAACAAATAACCAAGACATTAGTTACTAAAAAGAAAGATCAAAAAAAAACCCTAAAAGTTTGTATGCCCAAAATGAAAACATTCCTTATACTCTGCGTATTTCCAGAAACACATTTGACGAAGCTCTTTAGACTAAGCAAAGAGTAAATCACTGAATAATTTATAGCCCACAGTTAGCCCCTGGTTCGGCCATGGACTCTTTTCTTTAGCAGAATTTGGCAATGTTGAGAAAGAAGAGCAGAAATACGTTCTGAAACTGGAGCAAAACTAACTGGTTAGCAATGTGAATATAAGTATAGTTTCAGATTAGTTCTACTTCTCTTCTGGTTACTGTGTGATTTTTGCTATTTTCTTTGCATCCTGCCTCACACAGAGCCAAGGGTTGGATTGGGCATTGGTGCCTGCTGCTTAGCTTTGGAAAACAGTCCTCCTGGCATCTACATCCACAGCCTTGCCCCGGGATCAGTGGCCAAGATGGAGAGCAACCTGAGGTTGGTTGGACCCCTCCTATCATGGGTTCTGGTATCTTCTTGAATATGTGAACACATACACACTTATCAGCTCTGTTATATTCCTTTATGGAATTCCACGTCCTTCAATTATTTCCAGTAACACAGCCAAGATTACAAGTCTTAGCATTTGCAAAGACAAAAAGCTCATGTAAATAAAATTTGGTTAAATCAGAGAACTCTGGGTATTAGCGTCCCTACCTGTTTGGTTTTATTTGAACTGAGAAGTTCAGTTTCATAGTTTTAACAAAATAGAATACTGTATAGGTAGTTGATTATCTCAGTATAGTCTTTTACTTTTAAATTAATTTATACAAAATTCGTATGAGATGGTGGAACTGTTCATATGGTTCAGAATCACTGGTTGCAAAAGAGTCCTGAAATCAGGCCTTGAATGGGAGGCCTTTCTTACTCAGTATCGTCTCTTGATCTCTTCCACTGCTCTCATGCTGTTTGAGTAGGGCCGTCTAGGGGTCTGTTGTCTGAATCCCAGAGCTTCTGATTTCTCAGTGCAGAGCATTGAGTCACATCATGAGTGTTCTGTTTATAGGAGAGACCTCTAGGTGTTCCATTCTGCAGTCATTGCAGTGGGTCGGTGCCCACCTAAACTTCCTAGGAATGTACCCACATCATACAAAGCACTGTACAAACAATATCACCTTTCCCTCCTAAGCGTCTAAGTCCTTCAGCAGTTGAAACATTGTTAAAATGGCATTCCTTGAGGTTGCCGTTTGGGAACCCTGTTAATAGATTACATTACAGTCTTAGTTAATCATCAGAGTGAATTTCCATATGAAAAAACAACTTAGCAAATCATCCAAAAGTACATTAAAGAAAATATACTTGTAGAACCCGAGGAAAAAAACCTCTTTTAATGATATCCCAAGATGATGTTTCTTTCTTGAATGGTTCCATATGTTTGGAGCCTGCCAAATGAACATTCTTCAAACCCCATGTAAAGAGTCTTTGTTCTCTCCCACTGAGTTCTCTCCCTGTAATTTCAAGTCAAAATGGGCAACTTGTCCCCAACTTCTCATTTGTTCAAATGCGAAACGTTTTTACAAATTCTTGGGTAACCTTTGAGCTTTCAGATATTTCCTCCTTAAATTATTTTACAGTAATCATTTCAAGATGGTAGGAGGAAGGAAGAAGCTGATGGTGGCCGAGGGGCTGTCACGCCACAGCCCGGTCAGACAGACTTGCGTTAGTTCAATAGTGTGGCGTTACCTGTTGGCGACCTGTGTGAGCCCATGGCCCAGCTACGTAACAGGGAAGTGGTTCTTCCTGTTAGAAGCAGTATGAAATTGTTTGGTACAGAGGCCTGGCATACAGTATGTGCTCCAGAAATGGCAGCTTTCGCTGTTGCTCTCATTCGCCATTTTATTGATCCTCTAAGAGTGTCAGTGGGTATAGATAAAAGACCTTGCCAATTCAAAACCCAGTGGATATAGGTGAATGTGTTGTTTTTTTACATGTCAGGAAAGGATGTCATTTGCTTCTTGAAAGTATTCACAAGAGATTTCATATTTCAAATCTCCCCCGTAAGGAAAGCTTTCTTAGCTTTTAAAAGGCTATTACACAGAGTGTTGATTGTGTCACCCTCCCCAGCCGTGGAGACCAGATCCTAGAAGTGAATTCCGTCAATGTCCGCCACGCCGCTCTAAGTAAAGTGCACTCCATCCTGAGCAAGTGCCCTCCGGGACCCGTCCGCCTGGTCATCGGCCGCCACCCCAACCCCAAGGTGAAATGGTCCTTCCTGTCCCGCTTTGGGAAGATGGCATGGCTGTGTCTGTCCAGCATCAGTGACCCACAGTCCAAGGATGAGACAGGTCACCTAGCGGGGGATGGAGTGTCAGCCTATGGCTGATACATGTGGGAAATAAATTTTTTATCTCAATTTCTTTGCCTTCACCTTCATACTCAGAAAATTTTCACATTATTGGGACTTTAAATTTGGGGCTACTGGGATGGACTCTTAACTCACACCTACAGCCTCAACTATTTTGGAGGCTGAAGCAGAAGGATCTCTTGAACCCAGGAATTTGAGACCAGGCTAGGTAACATAGCAAGATCTAGAGTCTAAAATAGAGGGGGAAATATCTTTTTTTTTGTTTGTTTGTTTTTTTCTGGTACCAGGGATCGAACTCACAACCTTGCGCTTGCCAAGCAGGTGCTGTGCCGCTGAGTTAAATCCCCAGCCCAGAGGGGGAAATATCTTATAAAATAAAATTTGGTCTAGTGTAAAGTAGGAATTCTGAGTAATCCCTGCTGGCTGTTTGCTGGTAATATACTAAAACTCCATGGGTATCTGCATCAAGAAAATCGGAGTGTGTTAGAATTTATGATCTGTATGACTGTTTTTGTTTAAGATAAAAAAAATTTTAACTATCATCTCTTGTTTGTTTACATGTTGGAAATTCTCTCAGCTTTAAGTGCAATACTAAGTAATTTTCCAAGTAGGTTCTGAATTTTAAATTTTATTTAAGTAAGAAATGAGACTGACAAGCCTGAAGTAGGATAAAAGTGAGTTTTTGTAATGGTCAGAAAGAAGACTACTAGGAATTTAATTTAAACTTGAATAATACACTTAATTCATTTAAACTAGTGGCTGCCTTTGCATTTCTATAATATTTCTACAGTGGCATTTTTCAAGGAAAAGTGAATGCCTTCAGATTTGAGGAGAAAAGTTGTTTTCTTAATGTTCATTTGTTTGTTGGTTCAAAAAATAATTATCAAACTACTATTTCACGCTATTTAGGTAAACATAAGGGGAAATCTGGCTTTGCAAACCAACTGCTTATTTGCAAATGTTACTTAGTAGACTTTGTTTCCGTCAAAGTTGAGCAAGAAAAAAAACCCAGCATTTCAACAAAAATGCACTGAAGCAGTTATTACATTTTTTAGCATTGTGGAGGATCCCATTTTTCTTTCTGGTGGATGGAGTCCTCAAGACTAAATTGTTAAATTCACATAGTATCTTTTCCACTAACTATTCACACAAATGCTCTCAAAGCTACTTACACAGCATAAACACATACTGAAATTCTCCTGCCTGTTTAGCTCACATGCCCATTGTCCAATAATGGTTTTGCTTGTTTTGCTAAAGATGCAGTTTGAAAACAGGAGTCCTTTCTTGGCTGATGTCATGTGGATGACCTCGTAGGAACCCCGTGTGTGATTTGGACCCGATAAGACATACAGATCTCTGTAGCTCAACCCATTTCCCGGTTGTGAGGGTGCTCATATGGTCTTCTGTTGAGCCTTTAAACGACCTTTTCTTACTTACAAGTTTTGATCAGCAGGGCAGAACAAAGTCTGATGTTAGTAGCTCAGCTGTGGATACAGCTAGTTCAGCAAGCCTGGTGCTGAACTGAAGAGGGAGTGTCCCAGAGGAGTCCCTGGGAGAAATCAGGATGGGTGCAGGGTGAGGGAGCAGACAGCTACCAAGCGCCAGGGCAGTGGGACACACCTGTCCTTTCCTACCTCCCTCTACTCAGCGTGATTCAGATCATCAGTCCTTGTCGCAGATCAGATTCATTATCCTGCCTTTCACCAAGCTTCCATCGGATGCCAGGCAACATCGCCCCGGCATGGCTACGCGGATGAATTAGGGCACATCTCAACTCAGAAAGCTTACAGTCTACTCTGAAGATCTTAACCTGAAGTCAGTGAGGGAGCCTAGCACAGCGACTCTGAATTATAAAAATTTGGGAACATGTTTTCGTTGTAGATGAAGTCAATATCTGGCATCAAATTCCCATTCCCTCATGGCCATGCTGGCAGAGTGTAAGGACACTGCTGTCATTGGATGAAAGAAGGGACCCAGGGGCTGGGGATTTAGCTCAGCGGCAAAAGCGCCTGCCTGGCAAGCGCAAGGTCGTGAGTTCGGTTCCTGGTAATGGAGAGAAAACCAAAAAAAAAAAAAAAAAAAAGAAAGAAGGGACCCAGGTTGAAGAGTGGCCTCCTCTGTCCATCCGGGCCATCATCGACCTGGGCAGGATCCCTCTGCAGTTAAGGCCCCACACCCACTTGTTTTCTTCAACATGATTATCACACTGTTGGTCCACCGTGAACTTGCAGGAATAATCACGCATCATGGGCCTCAGCTATTTGGCCATATACTTTATACTTGTATAGCTGCTTTCAATTTTTTGGAGTTAATCACGTGACACTTCTGCAAGTTCATCTTGCGTTCTAGCCACTATTTTTTGTTATTGTTTTGAGTACTTGAAGTAAAAACATTCTTAAATTAGTTTGTCCCCAATGTTTTAATCAGGTCATATTTAATGAAATCGAACCTTTTCCTCTTAACAACTCCAATGGTTATTAAGACTCTCAGTTCTTACCCACAGCCTTGCCTGTCATGTCATTTGTAGTATCATTTGAATTATATCCCAGATGGTCTCAGGCTGCTGTGCTTGTATGCAGTCAACCAGGGAGGTAATGAGAGGAAAATGTTTAAAGTATGTTACAGGCAGGTGCAAATCTGCCAAAATGGCTGGGCGTGGTGGCACATGGCTGTAATCCTAGTACTTGGGATGCTGAGGTAGGAGGATCACTGTGAGTTCCAGACCATCCTGGACTACACAGTGAGTTCACGAAGTGTAGTTTAGCCTGAGCTACATAGTGAGACCCTTGTTTCAGAAAACAAAACAAACAAACAAACAAAAAACAAATAAAAAGTAGAAAGAAAACAAGATTAAACCTGGGCATGGTGGCACATACCTGTAATCCCAGCACTCAGGAGGCTGAGGCAGGAAGATCACCAAAAGTTTGAGGCCAGCCTGGGCTATGTATGAGTTGAAGGCCAGCCTGAACTACATAGAAAGAACCTCTCTTAAAAAAAATTAAATTTTGATCTCAATAAAATAACAACTGAGTTTAGATTTAGGAGTCGATGTCATCAAAATAAAATAAATGAAAATACAATAAATGATTGAGGCAACTAAAAAGAAAGTCTGCACCAAGAGCCCTGAGTGTGCCTCTATGTGCCATGTCAGAGATGTCTTGGTGGCGTCACTGTTAGACCCTGAGAGAGGTTTATTTCTTTTTTTTTTTTTTTTTTTTTTTTTTGGTTTTTTTCCAGTACCGGGAATCAAACTCATGACCTTGTGCTTGCCAGGGAGGTGCCGTGCCGCTGAGCTAAATCCCCAGCCCTCCCAGTATAAATAGGTGCATGGTAGCTGTAAGTCCGTGCCTTGATCTGGGATTTGATGGCAGTGACAGTGTTTAGACAGAGATCTTCTTTAGGTTGAGTCAAAGGCTACTGCACTAGTTTTCTCCAAGGTGTTTTATCTATTTACGTCAGAAGCGTATTACATTAAAAATGTTTTAGTAAGTATCATTAATATAGAGTGCTGCTATTTTTTCCTACTTCCCATTTTTATCCTTTTTAGTCTATAGATGTGATGCCTTCCCTTAAAATCTGTTCAACTTTGCAGCCTCTCTCTGTCTCTGTCTCTCTCTGTGTCTCTCCCTGTCTTTCTATCTTTCGCTGTCTCTCTCTGTCTCTGTCTCTATTTCTTTGTGTCTCTGTCACTCTCTCTGTTTTTCTTTCTCTCTCTCTCTCTCTCTCTCTCTCTCTCTCTCTCTCTCTCTCTCTCTCGCTCTCTGTCTCTCTGTCTCTCTGTCTCTCTGTCTCTGTCACTTTTCACACCATTTTGCCTCCCAGTAACAGCTAGGGCAGTTCTCAGCTCCTTCCGGCAGGATTAGGATTCGCACTTGGCTTCTGCCACCGGCACTCCCTGCTCCTCCTTCCACCTCAGGAGCAGTCCAGTAAGCTGTGGCTGACCTGATACCTCCCTCGGCAGCATTTGAGAAAATTAAGTTTTCAGTGGTCTGCGGTCACTGGCCTCGAGGCATGTCTGACTTCAAAGTCCTTCCCAGCATAATAGGGGTCGTGATGTGCTCAAGTCCATTTCATCTCAGCCCCAAAGCCTCTCCCTGTTTGCCAACACAGGCAGAGGTCAAAATGGCATTTTGGCACAGGGCACAGCTCGATGGGCAGGTGGTCTGAGACCCTGAATACACAGCTTGATTCGTGTTTCTAGCCACAACCAGACGGGTTTCTGTGATAGCGTTGGAAATGTGTCCAGCAAAACCTACTTTCAGTATTTGCCTGGATTTCACGTTTCTTCTTAGGTAAACATGCTGTCCTTGGTTGTAACATCATACTATATTTTTCTTTCGGTCAAGATTCCATTTTATGTTTAATGTATTTTTATACCATTTGTCTCAGCATTTCATGCCAGTCGTTCATCTTGATACTCGATGTATGTGCTTCCTTAGTTTTTGTGTGGTTCCAAGAGAAATACCACAAGGATTTTCTTTTTTTCTGTTTTTCATAATGTCTGGAGCAGTGGCTGCCCGATTGGGATATTCAAACCTTTCAGGTCTAGACAGGCTGAGATTTGGACCTGCTAAGAAAGCAGCTTGTAGCTTGTGTTAAGTAGGAGAAGGTAACAGGAGTCCTTTTTTTCACCCACTCAGAAAAACAATTGCAAATATTGAAAGTCTAGTATCAAGGAAAATCGCAAGCGCTATTTAAGCTGATATTACTCTTTGCTTTGAGGAGGTGTGCATATGTAAGTATGTATGGCTATGTGCATGTGTGTGTACGTATTTTATTTCCTGGGAAGCCTACTTTCCATGAAGGCCAGGATATAATTATGATGTATCTGTTAGGTTAAAATGTAATGTTGAATCCAGAATAGAAATATTTATTATTAAGGCAAATCACTATGCTTATCCAAATATTATTTATGCTAAATACTATTTTAGTGCAAAGTTACCATAGTACCATTAAAAAAGAAAAATCTGTAAGTTTTCCAGTTATCTTTTGAAATAATATCATATTCAGTATATGTCAGACTTTTAAAAAAAACCTTTTCATGAATAATGACAGTTAAAGATAACAACTAATAGGAAAAAATATTCCATTAATCTACCAGTCAGTATAGATTCTAATCAAACTGCTGCTTTGAAATTTTCATAGTAATAATTGATCCAGGCCAGAATCATCGGTGAGGTAAAAGCATGAGATAAAGGTATCTTGGGGCAGCAGCAGGACTTTTACACAGTCTCAAACTATAACCTCACAGATTATTATTAATGACCATGGAAAATCCTAGTGGAGAAAACTGGCAAGTCCCACCCTAACCAAGAGATCACAGATATCATCAGCAGTTACGAGACATGTTGACCTTGAGTGCCTCTAGATGCATAGATGAGGAAACCATTTTTTGTAGTTTTTCTACCAAAAAAGAAAAAGACATGATTCTAAGCATGAGGAAACTATCAGGCAGATCCTGATGGAGGGTTCGGATCAGACTGGGTTTCTTCCAAAGTATCAGTATCATGAAAGACAAAGAAAGCCTCAGAACTGCTCAAGTTTAACAGTGATGAAAGCCACATAACAGCTAAATCCTGGACTGCATTCTGGATTGCCAAAAACGGTTTTTCTATAAAGCACTACTACACAAAAAAGTTGGTCCACGATGGTCCACGGTCCAAACCGAGATACGCTTACACCAGAATGGAAACCCACTGCACCCGCAGGCACTCCCTTTAGGTCAGGTGACATTTTCACCCTTAGTTGATGAAGGAAACTGCTTGCTAATTTGCATTCTGAAAGAAGGTCCTTACCTCATCACAGGCTGACATCAAACTTTCTATGAACTAATTGCAGCCTGCGGACACACTTAGTACCACTCCTAAAAGTAAGACAGTATTAGAACAAATGGTTAAATCAGAATGTGAAATATGTGTTAGATAATAATCAGTGATAAATTTTCTCAATCTGATAATAGTAACATGGCTATTTGAGCAGGTAGTTTTTGTCGGAGGTATGTGCTAAAATATTCCAGGTGAAAGACCATGATATCTGCTATTTGTAAATGGTTTAGCAAAAAGGTACAGCAGAATGTGTGTGCGTTTATGTTTGTGCACACAAGCACAGGCACATCAAGAGAAGGCGTGTGTGTAAATGTGGCAGGATATCAAAAGTTAGTAACTCTTGCCATTAGTGTGAGCTCATGACTATAATCCTGTCTCCTTAGGAAGCCGAGAATCACAAATTCGATCTCAGTCTGGGCGATTTAGTGACTTAGTAACTACCTGTCTCAACATACAAGATGAAAGGGCTGGGGATGTAGCTCAGTGGGAAGGCCCTGGGTTTGATCTCCAGTACCACAGTGTATCAGTCAATAAAATAAAAAGGGTTGGGGTGGAAGACAGTGAGAAAGTACTGCATTTAGTGAGGGCTATGTTATTCTTGGACCACTCTTGCATTTTTTTGGTAGGTTTAATACTACTTTATTGTTTTTGTTTGTTTGTTGTTTGGGTATCGGAAATTGAACTCATGACCTTGCACTTGCCAGGCAGGCTGTGTGCCACTGAGCTACATCCCTGACCTAATAGCATTTTAAAGTTTAATTTTTTTAAAAAAAATTAGGGGTCGAGGGTGCAGCTCAGTGGCAGAGCACTTGCCTAGCATGTGTGAGGTCCTGGCTTCCATCCCCAGTACCATTTAAAAACAAAATTAGAAGTGAGTGTTCGAGAAAGAGGCAGATACCAGCCATGTCATGGGTGATCACGGCCCCTGAATGTTTTGCTTAATGAACTTGGGATCAGTTGATGCTCTTGTGTATATGTTGTTTGAAGCCATCCATTAACCCAGCTATTACTTACATGTCCTGAGTTATTGCTACAGAGGATGGTTGTATTCTTTTATCTTGTGATTCGACTATTTATCTGCGCTTAACTCTGACTCTAGTAGCTAAAACTATTTTCTTGGGGGAAAATAAATAAATAAAGCTATCTTATTTGTGCTTTCTGCTGAAAATCAGGTTTCCGAGCAGGAAATGGACGAAGTGATAGCACGCAGCACTTACCAGGAAAGCAAAGAGGCCAATTCTTCTCCTGGCTTAGGTACTGCAATTGCACATTTTCATTCAACATTCAGTAGCGTTTCTCATTAAGTTCACCCATGGGCACTCCCGGTGGAATCGAATTGGGTTCACTGTAATTATCAGGGTTGGTGGAAGTAGATGTCAGACAGAGTCCATACTTTCTCTTGGTTGCTACTTTTGATTTCCACAGTTATTTCATGTACTTCATTAAAGATCTAATCATGAACACTTCTTACACCACTTTCAAATAATTTGCAAGAGTGAGCCAAGAGCATTTCATGTATTTGTGCACGATTCATCTAAAATGCTGCAGATAACCAAAAAATAAATAAATAAATAAATAAAATAAAATAAAATGCTGCAGATAAAAAAACGATGAGTAATTTGGTAGACGCAGAGTATTCTCCACCCCAAAGCCAAGATTTCTTTCTATGAGTTTAAAAATGTCAGTGCGCAGAGGATAATGGAGACAGCTCAAGTTGTGATTTTCCCCTTAAGTAGAAAAGCTTAGGCAGGGAAGGATTGAGATTGAAGGTGTTCCGTCTGAATTTAAAACATTACATTGAGTTTTAAATCTTATGCTTCCTGTGGCATGGAAACCGAAAGGTTTCTGCAAACATTTCTGAGCTTGAGATTTTACTGATGTTCTGACGGATGTCCCAGAGGAAAAGGAACTGCAATATGAGTTACTGGTTGTCAGAGGAAGGGAAGGCATAGGATTTTTTGGCAACCATGAAAAACCCTGATTATTTGCATCCATAATTAATATATTTAAAGTGGACTCAGCCACAATAGGCTCTTTATTCAACTATTCATGGTCCCGATCTGCCTAAAAGCTGTGTTCTCCTAATCCCTACATCTCCTCTTGATCAGCTAGAAAAGATTTTATTAAGCCATGATCCTCAAGCCCTAAATCTCTTTTGCTCATGGCATATAAATTAAAGTCTAAATAGTGCACTTTTCAGCCTTCCTTTAAAAACTGAAACAGATATCCAAGCCTCTCCCCAGTTCTTTCATGGTCTCCTGGATGGTGTTCATTTGTCCATCCTTCAGCCCATTCAGCAAAACCACTGGACACTTACTAGACAGCAGGTACAGTGCCCCAAACATGGGTCAGATGAGTGTATATGTCTGATCCATAAATTGTTAAACAGTTGAGGAAGACATAAGCACTCATTATTAAATTATCATATGGAAATGGAAATTGAGGTGTGGGTATATCAAACATTGTGGAAATTCAGAAGAAGAAATTACTTCCACCCGAGGTCATCAGGGAGGCGGGAGCATCAGAGGCAGGGCTTGGAGCATGAGCAGTCTTGGCAAGTGGGATGGGGTGGGGTCGGGTACCGGGTAGACAGCAAGGGCGCCTCTCCCTATGGATACAGCGCCCCTCAAGCAAAGGGAGATTTGGGTTAATATGCTTGACTCCTCCCTTTCTGGCTAAGATGTGAACCTGCTTGAGATTTTAGCTCATCATTTTGACAGTACGGTGAATCTTCTCCCTACAGGTACCCCCTTGAAGAGTCCCTCTCTTACCAAAAAGGTACGTCAAGGCACTGCTACCACCTAACGCAGCTCAATCACACAAGCTCGGGATCTCAAAGGTCCAGCACATGTTTCTGCCCACGAGTCCTTTATGCCACTTTATACAGGAAATAGCAACCATGCCAATTTGAGGACAGATAGCCAAATGCGTTTCTCTTATTAAATATTCATTCAGGAAAAGAGTAGCGCAACAGAAAAAAAGAACTAAACTGTGGTTTGAAAAGCATCTTTTAAAGTTATTCCATAATAAATCAGGCCTAAGTTTTCTGGGATCTTTAAAGAAACTTGACATTCCCAAATCTTGCTAGATCAGGGCACAGGATTCCCACTCCCATTCTTTTGTTTCATCGGTTGGCTAGGACATTTGGTTTGGAATTTTATTCTATTTTCCGATCCCTTCCCTCAGTGTTTTTTCTGGGATGGTTGATAAAGTGCTGCTGCAGTTTCTCTGATCATTGCCAAAAATGCGGCCCCCCCCAAAAAACCTCTAAAAACAGGGTCTGGCAGCAACAGTCACCTTTTTATTCATTAATTATCCATTTAACCATCCTAAAGTAAGTGGAGATGGGTGTTTACTCTCCAAGCTATTTTGAATGACCATGGATTAGAACAAAGTGTTCTTGGAAAGCCGGGATGTAATTACCATTTCAAACTCTACTTCTGTACCTCTTCCAAGAAAATCGAGACATCTAATGTTTTCTTCCCCAACAGGAATCCCTTATTTCTGATTCTGAATTCTCCCAGTACTTTGCCCACGATGCCCAGGGCTCCTTGTCAGACTTCATGGCAGCCGGCTCTGAGGACGAGGATCACCCAGGAAGTGGCTGCGGCGCATCCGAGGACACCAGCCCGACCCCCAGTGCCTCCAGTAAGCGAGGAGCCCCAAGGGCCCTGGGCGCTGCATGCCAGCAAGCAGCTCTCCAGTGGGGCCCTCCGCAGTCTAACACTCCTGGTACTGCAGTAGGAAAAGAACTGGGAGCCACAACTCTGGCTGAGCAGATGCCATATTTCTACCCTGACAGGAACCAGAGTTTACGCTTAGTCAATGCAGCCATGGACAGCAACGCCCCTATCCCTGAGTTAGGCAGTGCGCAGGCTGGGTTCCTGGTGCAGCCCCAGAGGGAGAAGGTAGCAAACCCTCACCCATCCAGTTAGGTGCCGTTTACACCATGCAGTCTTGGATTTCATGGCGTCAAATCATGGTGGACAACATGAAGCCTTCATGTGTTAGAGAATCTAAGCCAAATTCCAGGCCCCATCCCTCGCCTAGGTCCTAACTTAATTCTTTTTAGAAGACAGTGAAAGATCAAAATTTATGAGACACAGGTATTATCATAAGTTGTTTTTTTTTAACTCTCCCTGATCATCTACTCATGATGAGGTGATAAGCTGATGTGAACCAGATGGATTTCTCAGACTTCTGGCGAGGTTTCTGATGTCTAAACAAGAAGGGTGTAGCTCAGCAAGGGAGCGATTGCCGAGCCTTCTCAAAGTCTTGGGTTCAACTCATCAGTGCCACATTTTAAAAAAAAAGATAGTGAAGGAAGAGGAGGGAGGGAAAGGAGGGAGAAAGGGAGGAGAAAGGAGAGGAGAGGAGAGGAGAGGAGAGGAGAGGAAAATCCCCTGCTCTTAGGAGGGCAGTGACAGTTCTGACTCATCTTGGAGCCACCGCTGAGCCTGCTCTGTCCTCTGTCAGACACACGTTAAGGTGTGAGCATGTGTGATTTTTCACTATAGCCAGCAGGATATAAAGAGATGGCAGAGCAGCCCATGCATTCTCCCCTCCCTGGCTAAAGCTGATAGCTTAAACTTTGAGAAGTAGAAAGCTTGTACTCCAAACACAGATAGGCCTATTGCTCAAGCCCCCTCCTGCAGATGACAAAGGAACCTCGGGTGCTGAGAGGGCCAGGGTGTGGAGCACGTCACTGACCCCGTCCATCTAGAGAGGAACTCTCAGCAGCAGCATTTAGGTCGGACCAGCAAGATGTGAGGCATCATGCAGGTTGAAAACAGCACGCCACTCAGACTGCCCAGGAGCAGCCAGAAGGAAAAAGGGAGTGAGAAGCTTGCTGTCCACCCTGCACAGATCCCAAGCCACCATGTTATTTAGGCATGGCGTCCAGCGGCCGGAAGTTGTGTGCTTAGCATTTGTGAAGGTGGAAATACTTGACGTGTAAAGATGGGTCTAAATTATAAGGCCAGGCCAGACTCACTACTCAGTTTCATCTGACTTGTGTTCCTGTCCCCCCACTCCCAGTTCACAGGGAGCCAGGAAAACCCCGAGCCAACAGCCTTGTGGCCCTCGGAAGCCAGCGGTCCTCTGGCCTCTTCCACAAGCAGGTGACAGTTACCAGACAAGCCAGTCTCCCTGGAAGCCCGCAGGCCCTCAGGAACCCTCTCCTCCGCCAGAGGAAGGTAGGCTGCTACGACGCCAATGATGCCAGTGATGAGGAAGAGTTCGATGGAGAGGGGGACTGCATTTCACTCCCAGGAGCCCTCCCAGGTTCCGGCAGGCTCCTGACAGAGGGTGGCGCCAGGCGTGTCTCCATGACCTCTCCCAAGGCTGTGGACGTCAAGCAAGAGGAACCGCCCCAGAAAACACTGGTCAGCAAGGCCTCCTCGGTGCCGCTCCTGGGCAGCTCGCTGAGTTTAGAGGAGAATGTGCCAGAGGGTGCGGCGCCCGCTCCTTCCCAGGCAGCCGGCCGAGCCCCCAAGCGCGGCCCGGGAGGCTCGGGAAGAAAGGAACTGTCAGGATCACGGAGTTCGCCCAAATTGGAATACAAAGTCCATGCAGACACCCAGGGTGTGATGAGCACAGAGAACCCCATTTCTCCCAAGCAGAAGAGTGAAGACCTGGGGTCCAGGCACAAACCAGTGGCCAAGGTCGCCCCTCACTGCAAGAGGCCCACAGCTGAGACAGCGGCCCTGACCGGCAGAGCCAATGGGACATATGGTCAGGACTCGAAGGTCCAAGCCACCCTCGTCGGGGGGATTAGCACTGGTCTGCAGCCAGCGAGAACCGTGGAGAAGGTAAGTGACTTCCCCTTAGTCACTCTGAATCTCAGTGAACGCTGTGTGAATGAATACGGAGGATGGGCGTCAGAAATTACCTTCCATCGACCATTCACATATGGGAGCCTGTTACATACGGGCAGGGTGCTAGTCATAAGGTCATAAGGTCATTCAGCTGAAGATGCAGTCGCCCTTGTACCTGTGCCCAGGGCCTGTGGCTGGCAATGAGAAAGCAGTGTGGCGTGGGTGAAGTAAAGCCCCGGGCTTGTGCCAGCTTCTCCGCTGGCTGGTTGGCACTAGTTGAGTGGCCATGATGCAAGTTATTGAGTCTTTCTCAGCCTCAGTTTATTCTCTGGACCATAAAATGGGAAGGGTGCTGTCTATCTCAGTCAGCTGACGTTGGGTGACACTCACGTTTGCAGTGATTCTTGCCTGCTGATAAGGTTATGAATGACCTTTAATTTTTCCATTTAATTTTTCTGTGCAGTGATTATAATCATAGCTCTTCAGACCCTTGTATCTCATGAAATAAAGGGAATGCTCTCGCTTAGAAACTTGACACAATGTGAGTTGTGTCAAAGGCAAGTTAATTTTATGTCGCTGCTTGCGGTGTGTTAGAATTACCTAACTGTCCTTTTTAAAACTCCAGTATACCTCCACATTAGCAAGGACAGAGTAAGAGAAACTAGTGTTGTTTACAGTCTCCTCAACCTAAATCTCTCTCTCTGAGCAAAGATTCCGAGGTGATTTACAAGGCCATATGTATGAAGATGTATGTTCAAGTGATTTATATAAACATATGTGTAAATAGACTCAGAGATGAAAAGTTATAAAAACTATATAAGAAATTTCTTTAATCTCTTTTTAAAAAAAATATAGAAATGCACATCTTTTTTTCCCTTCCTCAAAAACTCACATTTTCTCCAGCCAGCAGGTGTTTCATAATGTAATGGTCAACCAATGGGTACATTGCTACTTATAAAAAAGGGTCATCATGCACAAGTTCTGGGTAACTATATAGGACCCAATCAGGATTTCTATTTGTAATAACATATCTATTAAAAATAAGAGCTTCTGCAAGTTTGGTTTTGTATTCTCCTTGACAACTGTTGAGCGACACTGAAAACTTTTACACAAAAGAACTGAATTTTCTCATAAAAACCTAACTGCCAAACTGTGATTTTATTTATGTATGAAAAAGAAAATAGAATGCATTGCTATAAAATACCCTCCACTATTAGAAACTGAAAAGAGAAAAAAAAACTTTCTCTTCTGATAAATGGGTTGTTTTCTATGGCTTTTATTTAATACTTTTTATTGAGTATATATAAAATTAACCATTTTAACAAGCACCATTCAGAGGCACTTAGTTTATTCACAGAGCAGCACAAACACAACCTCTGTGCAATTCAAAACTCCTCAGCTGCTCCTGTTCTGCATTCAGCCTTCCTAGCAAATAGGAAATGAACTGAGTTAAATCCTAGGAAGGTTGCTCTCAGCCAGTAAGAGATATTTTCTGGAATGATTTTTCATAAGAGTTGCTGAAAGACACCTTATACCTTTCACCGCTCACCTCCACTGCTACCTTTGGGCCACTTTATGACTAACTCAAAGGATAAATTTCAAATAAATCTGATTTAATTCTCTAGTAAGTTTTTTTTAATTTTGTGATGAGTATTAGATAAAAGAAGGAAGATAAAAGTAATTGACAAAAAAAAAAAAAAAAAGTAATTGACAGCATCTCACATCTTGGCCTCAGGGAAATTTTGAAATATTAAATGTCAGCTTTATTTATCTAGATTCATTTTCTCCCTCACTACCAAACTAAGGAATCGATTTTATGGTCTTGGATATTTCTGTGCAGTATTACAACAATAGTAACTTCCATCTATCTAACCCTTAATATACTACCTTTATAGCTATTCTCCTTTAATCATATTTTATTTAAAACTCTCTAACACTGAGCAGTCCTTATCATGCCCATTTTAAAGCTGTGAAAACTGAGACTCGGGAAAGAGTGACAAGACCATACCATTTCCAGAGTCCTAATCTTCTGGCTCCTGGGCCAAGACTCTTTCAGCTTTTTCCAAGCCAGCTTTCCTCCATAGGTGATAGTGTCTTATGATACAGAAAACCTAGAAGCTATTAACAGCGACTTCTGGTTATCATCGTGCCAGGAACCTTTGGGAAAGCTGGCCCCTGGGGACGGACGTGTCCCCACTGACTGCGGGACACCCAGAGCTCTGTCCCACATGGACACTGGACGCCTCACAGAGAACCTGTCTGAAGCGGCACCAGAGCAGGGACCACAACCCGAGACTGGTAAAATTACTTTATCATTTTAGTTTAAAGAGAGGAAGGCAGGTCCTCTAATAAAAGTGTTAACATGGGATCATTTTGAGGAGGGGAAAAAAACCTCTGATATAAATTAACGATCGTTAAGTGCTGCCTGCACTTAACAACTTGACCGTGGCACCTAACTCCATAGTTTTGATTGCACGTTGCGTGCATCCTCGTCCACTCGCCAGAGCCGTTCTCCCGTTGCGTGACGGCGGGAGAGACGAGACGGACTGGACAGCTCTGCCGCTCTCCAGGCTCCGCCCTCTGCGCGTGTGAGAGCAGGGGCACTGAGAAGCGGCGATGGAAACCTCCGGGTGGAAAAGTAGACATTGAGTATTGGGAAGCTGGACTGAGTGTTGCAGGGAGATGGTGTGTACGTCATGGGGGCAGGAATCACGTGGCCGCCAGCGTCTTATTTATAAAGTCAGGCTTAATTAAGTGGCTTCACTGCCCTGTTTGTGAAGACTGATCGTTAGAATCCTAAGTCTGCACTTTGGCCAGGAACACGTTTCTCAGCAGCGGCATGCTGGCAAGCGGAGTGCTGGCCGGCCAGCTGCCTGGAGAGCCTATCGGCAACGCGTGCTCCCCGATTGGTTAGCAAACCATCTATCCCATCCACTTGTTATAGATGTCCTAGAAATTAAAAATCTGGTGGCCAGATGCAGTGATGCTGTACTCCCAGCAGTGGGGAGGCTGAAGCAGGAAGATTGCAAGTTCAAGGACAGCTAGGGCAATTCAGCTAAAAACTTTTTAAGGGTGAGGTTATAGCTCAGTGGTAGAGTACCTGTGGTTCAATCCCAAGAACCGGAAAAAAAAAACAAAACTTTTTTGGAGTCTCAGTATGTCACCCCACACTCAGACGGGTCCCCATGGGAAAACACAGGCCCCTCTTGCGCTTTGTGGTCTGTGGCTCTTTGCGCCACCATCGATGAGGAGGCTGTGATTGTGGTTTCGGCGCTGGCTTTCAGGTTCACGTTCACTCAGCAGACGTGACCGGGCAACTTTCCTCCGCACTTGACTTTATTACAAAGTGGGTTACCTTAGGGGCTGGGGATTTAGCTCAGCGGCAAAAGCACCTGCCTGGCAAGCGCAAGGTCATGAGTTCGGTTCCCGGTACCGGAGAAAAACCAAAAAAAAAAAAAAAAAAAACAAAGTGGGTTACCTTAGAGAGGTTTTACTGAGGGAAGGCGATGGTGGGTGGAGCAGCCCTCGATGTCTACCTTCCAAGTAACGCTTCCTTTGAGGCCAGCACGTTCGTGTGAGTTCCACAGAGCCATCCCCTAGAGGCTTTCCGAGAAGCCACGTCGGGTTTGGTATTGGAAGAGAGGGGCAATAAGGCGTTATTTCTCGGTTTTGGAAGAGAGAGTTTTGGTGCTCAGGGTCAAATGCAGGGCCTTGCACTTGCTAGGCAGCCACTCTGCCACTGAACTTTTTCATTAGTTTTGAGACAAGGTCTAAGTTGCCCAGGCTGGCCCTGAATTTGGGATCTTCCTGGCTCAGTCTTCTAAGTAGCTAGATTACAGGTGTGTGTCACTGTACCCTGCGTGTTACCGTTTAATTCTTAAATGTAAGGCTGCTTCTTCGGAGGACTGCTGAGTGGTCGTGACACACTGGTGCCCCCTAGGGCTGGTGGGGTGTATCTGAAGTCTTTGACCCCACCTACTCAATATTACCTGCTCTCAGTAATAGAGGAGATAATATTTGGCCCTGCTGGGATCCTGTCTGCTAGTCTCAGCCCTTCCTTTCACTTTATTATAAATAGCTCTAGTGCAGAAAATGTATTCTTCAGCTCATACCCATTTTTCTAGGGGAAAGAGCCCAAAGCACATAATAAATGAAGAAACACCTTACCTTTAAAAAAAAAGGATCCTTGATTTTAGATTTCCCAAAGTGATAGTGAAGCACCTGGGCACCACACGCAGGCTGGGCTCAAACCCAAGCTCCAGAATAGGCCAGGGAGGTGACCCTGAGCAAGGCCAGCATGCCCTGGGTTGCCCGCCTCATCAGGTTGTTTGGGAGGAGTCGGGGAGGTCTTCCCTGTCCAGCCCTCACAGCACTGCCTAATGCACCATATGCATTCAGTCCTACAGATGTGCCGCTGTGATTTCCCTAAGGAAAAGTGTGCACATTTACCTGCCTACCATGCCGTGCGCGTGCAGCACACCCCACACGTGCTTTTCCTAAGTGCGTGCTTAGAACGCGGGGAAGGCGGTGCAGGCCCCGAGCTGTGCTGGCCATGAGGACGGCTGGCTCTGGGCCCTCGAGCACACGGCTGTGAGTGGCGCCCCCTCTGTGTGGCTCTGACACCCAGGAGGAGGCCAGGCCACCTTTGAGGATCTGTCAGGGCTGTTGTAAGAAAGACCCAGGGCAGCATGGGCAAAGTAGACCCCTTGTTTGTCATTAGAATTTGAAATAACTCTGTTATGAAAGGCATCTACGTCTCTGTAAGTACTCAGCAAACAGAAGTGGAGAGGGACTAATGTAAGGTTAGCATAAAAACCACCTCAGCCCCAGAGAAACCAGTGTTCTGGTATGTGGCCTTTCAGTCTTACTTTGTGGATTTGAGTGCCCGCAGAGACTGGCGGTGCTGTCCTGGTGATTAGCTAGTAACTTTTCACAAAGGCACTTCAGGAGGAAAACACAGGCCGTCACAGCACCATTTTGTGTGGGAAGTGTGGGGTGAATGTAACGGCCGGAATGGACGTTCTTCTCAACCCAGAGCTGTCGTGGGACCGAGCTTGGCCGTGCTGTGTGGAAGTAGCAGACAGATGAGCCCGAGTGTGCGAGGCCCTGGGAGGCACCTCCAGGAGAGAGTGGTCTCAGAACCCCTCCCACCTGTGACTAGAGTTCTGGTGTCCCCTTTCCTGCCACCTCCGGGCATCTGTGCTTCTCGCTCTGCTTCCATTCTGTTGTCTTCTTCTCCCTCCTCCTCCTCTCCCTCCTCCTCCTCTCCTTCCTCTTCCTCTCCCTCCTCCTCTTCTCCCTCCTCCTCTTCTCCCTCCTCCTCCTCTCCCTCCTCCTCCTCTCCCTCCTCCTCCTCT